TTCATATCCCCATAAAATAGTAGAAAAAAAGAGATCATCTAATAGTCCCATATATGTATTAATTTCTTTTCGTCATATACATCTAACAAACTATGCTCCTTAATACCCCCAACTATCATCATCTCATCATCATCATCATCATCATCATAATCATCATATATCAAATACATATATATTATTATCACTCTTCTTACCTGTAATAATTTGAATTCTTTGGCTGTGATACATCAACTAACTCTGCTGCTTCCTCTAAGAGAGCCTTAATTTCCGCCATTTCCCCATCCGTCCCATTAGAGAAAATGTCAGCTTGCAGGATGGTCAGCTGCAGCAAAACAAATCTCCAATAGCAAGACCTAGTGATTGCTGCATCAGCCAGAGTTTGCCACTGTAACCCAATACCCCACCCCCAAAAAAACCCAAGAGGCAAGAAAAGAGGGAAAGTGAGAAACAACAAAGTAGCACTTTAGACTCCAGAACAAAAGTATTGATATGTTCCATTATGTTACCACTTCATAACAGGTCAGAGCTGGAAGGATATGATTAAGTCTTCAATGGCATTTCATTAAAGAATAAAGCCTCTCATCTCATTTTTTATGCACTTCAAAAATCTTGTCCTCTACAAAGTCATGTTCCATGAAGTTTCTATGAGGTTTAAGATTCACGTACTCTTTCTTTTCACCATTGAACTGAGGAATAAAATAAATTTAAGTTTGAAAGCTTAATCAAAATTCCTAAAGCAGTACAGCCAAATTCTCTGGGTTTCTTCATATCCACCAAATATGTCTGTAAACACAGAATAGATAACCTCAAACTTTCTAGAATAGCAATGGCTAATCAAAATCACTCCCAACTAACTTCGGTGATATATGCATCAGTTTCTAGGTTATAACATGAGTAGCTTATACTTGAATTAAATCGCATTACAATGTGCAATTTCAGCTCAAGAATTGTTGGCATAGACTGAAATTATTGCGAAATAAAACACATACTACCTGAACAAGCATTGGTCCATCAAGGGCTTCAGAGAGGCTATAAACCTGATGGCTAGGCCCCAAAGCTTCAGCCTTAATAGTTTGCCATCTTTTCACAATGTCTTCAGCTTCTTCAATAGGCATAGGCCTTTTGTATTCCATTTCCATAGAGGTTGACAGACTCGCAGAAGGAAAAGAAGTTTTCAGATATCCATCATCTGCGTGATAGCCAGGTTGCATCTTGAGCAGCTCCAATAGCTTTGCTATTCTACCAGTGAGGGAACTTGCTTTTAAACAAGCAGTGCCTGCATCGTAAGTCAGAAAAGGTTCTGTTTCACTTGTGTTCGCACTTGGCTTCCTAGATGCCCCCGTAGCAATCCAATTGAACCTCAAACCTGAGAGCTTTATTGAAAAGAGTACGGTGCATCCTAACACAGTAATCAAAGTTATTCCTTTGGCAATACTCATTTGGAAGGGCCAACTCTTGCAAACTTTGTTGTGGTGTGATCCAAGGTTTCTTTTTAATTGAACCGAAGAACCACCAGCATTGCTTCCATTACTGCTCTTGCCTGGTATCAATGGAGTCTGCAAATCAGTTGGAGTCAACTGCTTGACAGCTGACCTGACAGGTCGCAAAGAGTTCACACTTGGGAAGAGAGTGCTTAAAATCTCGCCCCTCTGACGCTACAGAAGATAGTGATCTTTGGTTTACCATAAATTTCTCTGGTGCTATTCTTCCTTTCACAGACACTGTAACTTTCTTTTCATCCCTAAAAAATTAGCCTGCAGATAGGTATATCTGGAATAAATTCCCATCCACTTTAAGCCTTTATC